CCTTTAATCTTCAGTAGGCTTTTTCAAAGTTGCAGGAGCTGGTCTAAAGGGGCTGCTACGATTTACCTGAAGTAATGTTACAATGAAAGAGCCAGAGTGGAAAAAATTATTGACAAAAGTGCTATTAAGTACTGGGGCAACGGATGAAAAGCTCACACATTTCCATGCTGAGTTTCATTGATTTGAGCCAATATGAAGCAAGGAAGATACTTATTCAGTCCCTAACTCCCCACTCCCACCCTGCCACTGAAAAGCTGTTCATAGTTGCACATAACCTGTCATTTGTGGAACCCAGAACAAAACCTACTATTTCTTACCCTAAATAACCTTGCACAACTGGCATCATGGTTATACCAGCATATAGTTATCTACTTTTATTTATTTTATTTATTTATTAAAACATTTCTATGCCGCCCCTTGCCGAAGCCTCGGGGCAGCTCACAACATCGAATAAAATACACAATAAATTAAAACAATAACAATTAAAATATATACAGTAGAATAAAATAAGCCGCCCTGGCCAAATAAAATTCAATAATATTAACATTTAAAATGCTGCTTAAATAAAAAAGGTCTTCGCCTGGCACCGAAAAACAAATAACGACAGCGCCAGGCGGACCTCTCTGGGGAGCGCATTCCATAACTTAGGCGCCACCGCTGAGAAAGCCCTCCTCCGAGTAACCACCCTCCTAATTTCCTTCACTGAGGGCTCCCGGAGGAGGGCCTCTCCCGCTGATCTCAAGGGGCGGCTGGGCATATATGGACGTAAGCGCTCCTTCAGGTAACCAGGACCCAAGCCGTTTAGGGCTTTATAGGTCATCACCAACACCTTGAATTGGGCCCGGACTTCAATGGGAAGCCAGTGAAGCTGCCGGAGAACTGGAGTCATGTGAACATAACGTCCAGTTCCCGTCAGCAGCCTGGCAGCTCTATTTTGAACCAATTGAAGTATCCGGACCGTCTTCAAGGGTAGCCCCACGTAGAGCACGTTACAGAAGTCAAGACGGGAAGTCACCAGTGCGTGAGTCACTGTTGCGAGGCAGTCGTACTCCAGGTAGGGGCGCAGCTGATGGATCAGCCGAAGCTGGAGGAAAGCGCTCCTCGCCGCTGCTGTTACCTGAGCTTCCAGTGAAAGCTCCGGGTCGAGGAGCACTCCCAAGCTGCGGACCTTATCCCTAGGAGGGAGTGCAACCCCGTTCAGGACAAGGTTCAATTCACCTTCTCCAAAGCCTGAACCGCCTACCAACAGGACCTCCGTCTTGTCTGGATTGAGCTTCAGTTTATTGGCCCTCATCCCGCCCATTACCTCGGCCAGGCACCAGTTCAGCACAGCCACTGCCTCACCTGGATTGGTGGAAAACGAGAGGTAGAGCTGGGTATCGTCAGCGTACTGGTGATTCCGCAGCCCACACCTCCTCATGACCTCTCCCAGCGGTTTCATGTAGATGTTAAACAGCAAGGGGTTACTTTGCCATCTGTTCTTTTCCTTCTCCCTATCCATTCTAATTTCTGGTGAAATGAGGGGTTCCAAGGGAATGGGGGGGGGGCAGGGGGTTGAAAAGCTAGGACACTCAAAGGAAAGGTCCCCAATCTTGCTGGAGTGGTGGGCATATTTGGAATTTTGGGAAAGTACAGAGCATTCAGAGAACTGTGCATAAAATGACTGCCATGGCAAGCATGGCTGGTCACAAAACAGTAATGTCTCAGTAGCCAAAACAGTATTCTTGAGGAGTCTCCTCCAGGAATGTTGATAACTTCTACAATAGTCTACTATTATTCATCAAATTTCATAAGCTTTCTTAGGGTTTCCCACAGTATCTGATACCTGGCATCAAGTAACATTGGATGGCTGATGCACAGTAACTGTTGGCATTTGGCAGTATCTAACAATAGACTGCAGGTGGCGCAGTGGTTTAAACTGCTGCTGGGCTGGTTGATTGAAAGGTCGCCGGTTCGAATCTGCACAACAGAGTGAGTTCCCATTGTTCCATCCCAGCTCAGCTCCTGCCAACCTTGCAGTTCGAAGACATGCAAATGCAAGTGGAGAAAAAGGTACCACTTCGGTGGGCAGGTAACAGCGTTCCGTGCACTTCGGTGTTTAGTCATGCTGGCCACATGACCACGGAGACTGTCTGCAGACAAATGCTGGCTCCCTCGAGTAGGAAACGGAGATGAGCACCGCCCCCTAGAGTCAGGCATGACTGGACTTAATGTCAAGGGGAAACCTTTACCTTTACCTTAACAATAGATAGGGAACAACTTTTCATTTTTTTAAACAAATTCTTTTAACCAGTGAAAAAACAGCCTGTTAGGAGGAGGTGGGAGCCAACAAGTATACTTTGAATGCACTCCACTTTGACTTAGTCATTCTCTTCATCTTGCCTTCACCAAGTACTGCTCTGTGCCTGACACAACCTGCTGTGGAACTTCCTCTGCCTGATCATCCCCTCATCTCCTTTAAGACTGCACACACACTCATTAATTTCTGCCTTCTGCTCCTTTTGTGACCTCCAGGCCATTGATCCAGTGCCCTCTTATGAAAGATTAAGAAGAAGGCCTGTGCTGCATTACACCAGGGGTCCATCTAGTCCAGCATTCTGTTCACACAGTGGCCAGCCAGTTACTTATGAGGAATCCACAAGCAGGGCAGGCGTGCAACAGGGAATTTCTGTCCATGTTCTCCAGCAAATGCTATGCACAGGAGTACTATCCTTGATACTGCAACTGCCACACAGCTTTCCGGACTGGTAGCCACTGATAGCCTTCTCCACCATGATTTTTTCTACTTTTCTTCTAAATCCATAAAAACTGGTGGCCAACCCAACTTCTTCTGCAAGTGAATTCCATAACTCAGCTAGTGCTGTATGAAGAAGTCCTTCCTTATACAGTGGTGCCTCGGCTCATGAATGCCTCAGTTCACGACCAAATCGGGTTGCAAACAAAAATTTCATAAAAATTTTGACTCAGGTTGCGAACTCCGCATTGGGTGGCGACTGCTATCATGGCTCTCTCCTCACCCCCCCCCCCCGAGTGGGGAGATGGCCACAATCGTGCTGGGGGCAGTGGGGAGATGGCCAAGATTGCGCCCGTCTTTCCTGCCCAAGCTCAACCACGATCTCAGCCATCTCCCCCACAGCACGATCATGCTCATCTCCCCCCTAGCATGCCCACATTTGCGCCTATCTCCCCCCACCAGCGTGACCGCATTCATGCCAGTCTCTCCCCCTCTCAGCGCACCTGTGAACGCACCTGTCTCTCCCTCCCCAGTGCACTTGGATGACGGGCACAATCGTGGTTGTGCTGGGGTGGGTGGAGAGATGGCCCCATTCGTGCTCAGGGAGTGGGGGGAGATGGCCGTGATCTTTGTTGTTCTTTGTCGCTTTGCTTCACATTTTTCTGATTAAAAAAATGGTTACAGAACAGATTAACCTTATTTACATTGAACCTTATGGGGAAATTTAACTTGGCTCATGACCAATTTGGGTCACGACCAGAGTCCTGGAACGGATAAAGTTTGTGAGCCAAGGTACCACTGTATCTGCTCTGAATCTCCCACCAATCAACTTTACAAAATACCTCTGCGTTCTTTTAGGAGAAAGAACAAAAGGTTTCTTCTATCTACTTTCTCTACAAGATGCAAACTTTGCATACCTCTATCATCTCTTCCCTAACTCACCTTTTCCGTAAGCTAAGCTATCCCTGATGCTCCTGGCTTTCCATCATTAATAAGCATAATCCTATGCATGCTCAGAAAAAAGTTCTACAACTTATTCTCCACCCAGTCATGGGATGTGCAGATTTTTTTCCTGTCTAAGCATGCACAGGACTGTTATGAGCTGAGGATGACTTCTGCTCCCCGCACCCTTCAGTGAATGAAGCAGAGTATTGATGCAAGTCAAAGCCTCTTCTGGAAGTCTCCTAGCAATCCTCAGAACCTCTCCTCTGTCCTTTGATGCTCACTCTTTGCCCATGACTCTGGTGCATAAGAACCTTCTTTGTAGCTTCTCAGACCACTGGCCTATCCATCCCCAGGTTTGTCAACACTGGCTGGCAGTGGCCCTCCAGGGTTCCAGGAGGAGTTTTTCCAGCATTACCTGAGGTTGCCAGGGACCATTTGCCTGCAAAGCAGCTGCAGAACTGCTGTGGCCCCTTCTAGAGCCCCCTTCTGTATTGCAACATTGAAACCTTCCGCTCTGATCTCTCTCTCTCCTTCCGCTTCCCTAGTTGCCCTTCTCCAAAGCCTCCCTTTCATTTCTCTTCCCACTATCCTTGATGAGTTCACATCATTCTGATTCCTTCACATGCTCTCTGAACCCCTCTCTCTTCCTAGTTGCCATCTTGCTTGCCTCTCATTCCACACCACAGAATCAATTACCCCCACTCCCACCCCTGGCTCCTTCCATACCAGGACAAACCATGCCCAGTCTGATCAGCCTGTTACTGAAAATCCACCTCCTCTCTCAACATACTGCCCCATCTCCCTTTTGCTCTTCACCTCGAAACTCCTGGGCTGTGCTGCCCAATCTGCCCCTTAACTCCCTACAATCTGCTTTCCACCCCCTGCGGTCCACTGAGCTTATCCTCACAAAAAACACGGATGACGGGGGCTTTCCTACTCAGGTTGGTTAATCCATTGTATCAGCCTTCAATTTTGTCACAGAACTGAGCTCTGAACTCTACATAAGGAACACTTCCTTTTCTGCTACATGGCCTCTAGGTGACACCGTGAGAAAGTGAAATAGTGCAAATACACAGATGAAAAAGCTTCAGCTACTGGGCAATATGGAGATTAAATAAATAAAGTATTTTCTTTTGCTTTTAAAGAACATACATTTTCTCTGCTCCAAAAAAAATGCCCAGAGTTCTGTTTAGACACAGATGAGGATGACAATTTGGAATAGGGAATCATGGTGACATGATAAATCCATTGTGTAGAAAAGCTACGTAAAATCTGAACATTTTTCCTCATTCTTTTTTCCCTTTCTCCTACCTTGATACAGTTGTTTACTCTTTCCTTTTTGATGTTCTTCACACCTTCGCTCTTGGTGATGCTATCCATAGCTGGGTTCCTCCACTTGACTAACTGTTCTTCCAGTGTTCCCATTAAAGCAAGAATCAGCACACCTCCAGGACTTCCATGGGACCATTCCCAGGACAGTGGGTGTGTGCACACCTTTTAGTGACTTTCAAGGTATGTCTCCTAATTCATTAGTTTTCATTGTGGGTGGCATGGGCACGGTCACAGTTATTTAATATGAGATGGTGGCAGATTTTATCCTTTATTTTTCTATGCCTACCCCAGAGAAGAAGGTGCTGCTTTTGTAGCTAACAAAGCTCTAGTCAAAGCAGCCCAATGTTTTGCATTACCACAGAATGGCCTTGAGGGAATGATGCTATGTACATCGTGACTCTTCATGTGGACTGCAAGAAGCTCTGCTGCAGCCTGTTTCCCCCCACTAACTATTAAGACACTGATGCCTGCATGTTTCCATGTGCCGCTCACCCCAGACAAGACAAATTGTATTTCCCACCCCCATTACTATGGTCCTGTACAGCCCATCCACAGGGCTATCTGGGTTTTTTGGGGTGGGGGTAGAAGAGAAACATCACACTAGTCCCAGAATAAATCCTGAAAGTGGGCAAAAGCGAAAAAGAAAAGCTAATACCTATTCTATATTAGGCCTCAGATTCCCTACAGCAGGGGAAGGGAGATTTCTGGATTTCAAAAATTCTGTTGTTGTTTAACTAAAGTCCCTTGGGTCATCAGCTTGGATCCAGATATGAAAAGGTGGCTTGGCAGGGCAAAGACAAACACCTACTTACAATCATGAACATATATTGGGATGTCCTGCATGCACAAATAGTAGTCTGCCTCTAAGTCACTACAGATCAGAAAATCTAACTATCTAATTTAGACAGAAAAATGGCTCTTGTTAAAAGAAGCAGAAGTTCCAAGCCCTTCCTGATCAACTGCAAATCATCCAAAGGATTGCAAGTAGTGTCTGTTCTATCTGCTGCCTACGCCTGTCATACAGCATGAGAAATGCAAGGCCAGGATGAATAGCCCTGGTTCTGATTGACAGAATTGGCCCATTCACAATGAATTATTTAAGCCAAGGTAGGTTGCAGTATATATGAGCTCCCAACTTGAGCATTCAAGTTGTGATTGTGACTTGTGGTCTAAAACCAGTGGGGGTAGGTTGATGGTGTTAACAAAGCACCCAAAACTATGAACTAGTTTAGGGATGCAGATGGCTTGTTAACTACACCAGTGACTCATCTTCACCAGGTCTGGATGACATGACAAGTAAGCCACAGTTGTGGCTTGAATATGTAAAGTTTGCCTGGCATACACCAGCATGCCCCACAACCCAACATCAAACGTAGATAAGTGGTCTGCCATAGAGACTGAGTGAACAAGGTCACTCTCTCCCTTCTGAAGATAGAATAGAAATCTCAACACTTAGCCTACCTGTATAAGGCTGATGCTGTCCTTTTCAGCCCTTTCGGTCTGTTGGGCTTTGGTTCTCCAGCCATGTTTATATCTGCAATGGATAACTTGGAATTAATGTTTAATTGTCCCCTTTCAGTCTAATGCAGAAATTAAGGAGAAATCCAAGCTGCCACAATGCTCTATTTTTAATATAGCTTTTCAGCTTTAGTATTAGGCAAATGACTATTTGCAAACCTTTAAATAAATTGGCATATGCAAGGAGCAGGAACTCTCCTCACTTTCCTTTTCTGAAATTAATCATGGTTAGTGTTACATCTGCATCAGTATTTCCAATATCCATTTTTTCATTTATTTAAAACTGCATGCCCTGCTATTCCAGAGTAAAAGTCCAAGTCAGCCAACAGTTAAAATAGCACAGACAGAAATATCAACAAGGAACATGGTTAGCTTCAAGTCACAGCTTGTGACTGTGCTTTGAAGTGGACTTGCAAGTCATGGTTCATGAAAACACTGCTGTTGTTCCAATGCTAACTGTGGTTAATTTTGGAAACTGGGGTTGATCTGGGGGAAACAACATCGAGAACTCCTGTCCTGCCTTTCTAAGCATGGTTATGAGACCAGGGAGCCTTCTATCTGCATCAGAAGGTATCCTGGTCTGTGTACAAACCACTTTTCTTAATTCAGATGAAATGATAAACTGTAGTTTGTTACAAACTGTGGATAAATACATCTCACCTCTTCCCCACAGGAGGGGTGAGAAGAGAGCACATGAGCTAGAGGCTTGCTGCAGCTCATGTACAAAAAACAAAACATGGTTTGTTGTTATGCTTGAACCGGGTCTGCTTGCCCTCTACCCCACCCCTCAAAGTTCCACAAATCATATCAGCACACCTCTTCATAAAATTGGTTCATGAATTTCAATAGCCACTCTTAGAAGGATGTTGTAGTCTGCTTCCATCCTACTGTAAAAAGAATGACAAATATTTGGTCATGCTGCTTATAGAGCACATAAAGAGGCTATTCCTGCTTCCAATATCACTCCTCCATTCAGTCCATGCTAAAGTCTGTGTCAGGTGCAGAAGCATGGCCAGTGTCACCAGTTGTGATCTCAAGGATAGTTTTCAATTTCAGCTATGGTGGAGAAAGATATTTTTTCCACCTAGCAAGAAAATCTCAGCCCTGATCCTTCATATGGAAGGGCTGAGTGAAACGTGAGGGTAAAAGAGTGTGTCCAATTTTCACAGTCTTCATGGAAAACTGAACAAAGTAACCCCAAGCATAAAGGAACTGCTTTATAGAAGCAAAGCATAAGGAAAGTTGGATGCACCCTTCTTTTTCTATCTGGAAGTGGGGATGGGGGGAAGTGTTAGGGAAATACAAATTATTGCAATGAAGTTGATTCCAAACACACCTCTTTTCCAACCAAAAGGTGCTAGCTCCACTCTCAGAGTGGTTCCTGATGCTCCTGGGCCAGAGGGTGGGAATGTTGCATACTACTTTGTGGGTCTGCCCTTTTGGTCTGATGCCAGACCATGGGGTTGATTGTACTACTCCTGCTCCCATCTGAACCTGCCTGTTCAGTGAAGTGCCCCACAGAACCAAATGTGGGTTGGTTCTTCCCAGCTTCTTGGCTTATTGTTGAGCTTGCTGTTCTTGGCATTTCAGCTTTGAATTCTGACCCCACCTCTTCCTCTCATTCTGATTCAGATTTCAAGATAACAACTATGGAGGGCTGTATTTTGGGAGAAGTGGACTTAGTCTCTCCATCATGCTTTCACACTGCTTCTCCATAATCACTACAGGAGTAAAATGGAGTTGTCTTCTGCTGTCCTCTTCAGCTGCACATGTGGAGGCCTGCCAGAATGCTTCATATTTCCCAGCTAATAGATTAAAGGAACAGCCATACCAAGGCCTGAGGGGCTCCATATACTCCTGTACTTCAAACAGGAGTGATAACTTTCAAGGCACTTTGGAAAAAAAAGTAATATTGCTCTTTCCCACTTCCCAGAAAGGATAACTCTTTCTCCTTCACTTGTCAAAAGAGTAGGGCTTCATAAAGAGATTAAGGATGGAATCCTATGCATGCCCAGACTGCAAAAAGTATTACAGTTCCCAGGATGGTCCAGCCAGACATGTTGGCTGGGGAATGCTGGGAATGTAGGACCTTTTCCTGTTTAAATATGTATAAGTTTGTGTCTTAAGAGTCATAAAAGATTTGGAAGGGGAGCAGGGAGAAGAAAAGGAAGGGACAACCCCATTGCACAAGTAGAAACCCACTCATGTCACCTGAACAGACATTTCATCTCAAACACAATGCTACTTCAATGGGCCTACTCTGAGTAGCACCGGTTTTTGCTACAGCAAAATTAATGTGGCAAAACCAATCATGGTATATGCATGTGCAAATTTCTGAGCTCACCTTTGCAGAATAGCAACATGACAACCACAGAGCCGTGCGGGTCATTCTGAATGGCAACCCATCCTGCCCAGGAAGCATTTGCTACTAAGTAAATTTCAACATACAATGTTTTAAAGGATGGTGAAATATTGGAGCTTTATTTCAGGTTGTTTCACCAGATGTAATGCAGGGTGGGAATAGGTTTTGAGCTGCTGCACAGGTGTGTCTGGCATTCCTGCTGCCTTCAATACCACCGCCACCCACTGAGAGATCAAAAATGCCAATTTCTGATTGAAAAAGCTATCTTCAACAACAATTCTCAGTTTATGCCTGGTGACAAGAGGCTTCTCAGCAGGTGACATTTCAAAGTTTGCACAAAAATGGTTATGCTAGGAAATAGTTGGTTTCAGGCAAAACGGTTATTGAGATAGATACTGTCACTATTCTAAGTGGCTGCCTTGAACTGTATTGAGGTCTGGCTGATGAGGTCTGCGTCACATGTAGGAAACTGCTTATCACAATGCTAGTTAAAATAGAGACAGGTATTTCTATCTTACTTTACACTTAAGGTTGCAATGTTGTGTATGTATAATCAGACAGAAGTCCTTTACCTCCCTGTATTCCCCAGCATGGGTGGGCTCAGGAATGCCAGATGTATAGGATTTTTGTCTGTCTAAATATGCACAGGATTGTGACCTGAATGTGTTTTTTGAGCACTGAAAGCAACAGAAAAAATGCAACAAGAAAGTCAGTTGATGGATGAAAACAGAGAGCAAAAAAAGTAAGAGTGATCATTTTAAATCAGATCATTTAAAACAGAGTGCATTAAAACACATATGCAAACAATATCAAAATGCCATGAACGATAGTTTAAAGACTCAGTAAATTATAACATCTTTGCCTTGTGGCAGACCTGTTTGAGGAGGCCATTCCATAGATAGAAAGCCTCTATGTCAAAGTCTCTCTTTTTTGTAACCACCCGCTGGTGGTACATCATAAATGTTGGCACTCAAGAAAAGCGTCATCTGTTTATCTCAAGGTTCAGTAAGGTGCATATGGAAGAACATCAGAGATCAAGTCCTTAGATATAGCAAGATGTAAGACAACAGGTTCCTAAACTGCGATGGATTTAAAGGGCAGAACCCATACTTTGAACTATGCTTAGAAATAGGTCAGGAGCCAGTGAAGGCAATAAACTTCTGGCAAAATATGTTCATAACATCAAGTCCCAGTTTAGACATTTGAAGGCTGCTGTTGAGAATTACCATATTTTTCGCTCTATAAGACGCACCTGACCATAAGACGCACCTAGTTTTTAGAGGAGGGATCCATGGAAATCTTCCTGATAATCACAGGCACATTCCCCATCACTTCCCCTTGGGCTTCATTAAAAGACGGGTTGCCATTTGAAAACACACACCGACCTGTGATTAACAGCTCTCACCTGCGCCAGAGGAGGGGGGCGGAGCAGGGCGCACTGAGCGCGTGCCGGCCAGGTGTGGTGCAGCTGGGCCAGTAGCGTGCTGGCGGTGGTCTTCCGGGCGGCATGGCAGCGGCGGCAGGTCTTCCCGGGCGGTGGGGGTGAGCAGTCCGTCTCTTCATGCAGCCGGCGGGTTAAAGCCCGTGGCTCCTCCTCCTTCGCACCGCTCCCCCTGAGCGGCACAGCTCTCACCTGCGCCGGAGGGGGGGCGGAGCAGGGCGCACCAAGCGTGTGCCAGCCAGGTGTGGTGCAGCCGGGCCGGCAGCGTGCCGGCGGTGGTCTTCCGGGCGGCACGGCAGCAGCAGGTCTTCCCGGGTGGTGGGGGTGAGCAGTCCGTCTCTCCGTGTGGCCAGCGGGTTAAAGCCCGCGGCTCCTCCTCCTCCATGGCAGGTCTTCCTGGGCGGTGGGGGTGAGCAGTCCGTCTCTCCGTGCAGCCGGCAGGTTAAAGGCCACGGCTCCTCCTCCTCCGCGGCAGGTCTTCCTGGGCGGTGGGGGTGAGCAGTCCGTCTCTCCATGCGGCCAGTGGGTTAAAGCCCGCGGCTCCTCCGCACCGCTCCCCCTGAGTGGCACAGCTCTCACCTGCGCCGGGGGCGGAGCAGGGCGCACCAAGCGCATGCCGGCCAGGTGGTGCCACGTGGTGCAGCCGGGCTGGCCGCGTGCCAACGGTGGTCTTCCGGACAGCGTGGTGGAGGCAGGTCTTCCCAGGCAGTGGGGGTGAGCAGCCCATCTCTCTGTGCAGCTGGCGGGTTAAAGCCCGCAGCTCCTCCTCCTCTGTGGCAGGTCTTCCCGGGTGGTGGGGGTGAGCAGTCCGTCTCTTTGTGCGGCCGGCAGGTTAAAGCCTGCGGCTCCTCCTCCTCTGCACCGCTCCCCCTGAGTGGCACCGCTCCCCCTGCACCGCTCCCCCTGCACTGGAGTGGGGGGCAGAGCAGCACGTACCGAGCACGTGCCGTCCAGGTGGTGCCACGTGGTGCAGGTGGGCCGGCAGCGTCCCGGGCATCGGACACACACACATTCGCTCTATAAGACGCACAGACATGTCCCCTTACTTTTGAGGGGGGAAAAGTGCATCTTATAGAGCGAAAAATACGGTACTTGGCTGCTCTGTTAACCAACCACTTTGCATGAGAGTCAGCATTCTGAATTCCTAGCCAAAAAGGTGCAAATGTGTGGCTTAATGGAGGGTTTCAACTTCAGCTAAGAACTCCTGATGTGCCTGGTTCAAAGACGCTTCAGCATCCCCTGAGGAGGAGCAAAGGGCTTGGCTCGACACTTCTCGAAACATCACAGACAGATGCTGAGGGATTACGTAGCAACAAAAATGGCTGCAAGCAACATGCCCTGGCTGTGAGCTTCTCAGAGGCGTCTTTCTGGCCACCATTGAAAGTTCATTGCTGGATTAGATGATCCTTGGTTTGATCTAGCAAATACATTTTTATGCTGTTATTTAATCAGAACTCACCAAAAAGTTGGATTGATTACAAGCGAGGAAGGGTGTGCTTTACAAATTGCTGATTTGACACTAGGAGTACTGTACATAACTTTGGTTGATACATCTCAAAAATGATATTGCGGACCTGAAAAGGTGCAGAAAAGGGCAAAATGATCAGGGATGTGGAGCAACTTTATACTGTGTTTGGGCTTTTTTAGTTTAGGAAAGAGAACCTAAGATCACAGCTTTACTGGATGACCCTGGCAATGGTCATCAATGATGGGTGAAGATGATGGGATTTGTACTTCAATACATATGTAAGTAATCCAGCTGTGGAAGGTTAGTGCAGGTACTGTCAGCTCTGATGCCAACTGGCTACTGAGATGATAGGTCAAGGCCTGCTGCAGTTCTGCCATCCGAGACATTTTGCCAACTGGAGAGGCCAGGAACTGAACCCCAGAACTTTGGCATGCCATGTGTGAGTTCCACCACCGAACCACGGATCCTGTTGAAATTTCCCTTGGCTTTCTCAGCTACCCTATTCGAGATGAACTTTGGGCAACTTTGACAGGTTGCCATTCTGGGGGCCATTTTGCCCTCCCTGGGAGCCCTCTGTACCTGGAGGCGCTGCAGAATATCAAAAGAGTCAAAACTAACTTGTTTGCAAGATATATCTGTCTCTCTGGGGACTGTGCAGCATGTATGGCTGTCTTTTTCTTTTTGCAAAAAATCCCCCTTCCTTTAGGGGAGTATCCCCACATTTGGGGGGAGCAGAGTGTAGGCTACATGTGGCCCCTAGGCATCAAGTTGCCCAGCCCTGCTCCAAAAGGTTTGCAGAGAGGTGTGTGTGTGTGTGTGTGTGTGTGTGTGTGTGTGTGTGTGACATGGATAAGAAGCAGTCTGGGTCAGAGAGTTCCATTCACCAGAAAAACAGCACAAGGGATCTGCACAAGGCGCTACATCACTTGCTATATTAAAGCTGATCTATGAATGAGCTATACTGAATGTAGCTCTCATACATTTCAATCAAAACAACATTTGAAAGAAATAACAATATCCACTAGCAATGCTTTTCACGGCCAGCTTGCTCACACGCTATGTTTGCAGTGGAGGTAATCAGCATCCTCCCCAAGGAAATCCCCTGGTTTCTCTATAGTGGTCTCCCATTACACTTCTAGTAGCTCATGATTAAAAACCCTTACTGTGCTGCATGATCATTCACGACTGTTTAGAAGATGGGTGGCTTTCCGCAGTATGTGAACATTTGCCGGCTGCGGTCGCGTTATAATGATACCAACACATTGAGAATAAACCTTTGTGTTTTTCACAGCGCTTGCTACATTAGGTGCCTAATTTGATTTGGGACTGCTCAGTGCTGCTGTAGTGCACATTACAGCAAACAACATCATCAATCCGAGGCCTCGTGTTCAGCAGCTGGCAACCTCGCTGTAAAAAAATCGAATACTAAACAATGCCCACACCTGGTTTTGGAACATCTGTCTTGCAACAGTGTCTCAGACAGATCTATAGCAATCAGGCAGAAGTTAGTTAGTGGCAGAATTTGGCAAGCTGGCCTGTGAGCAGGGCTGGCCTATTTCACCAATGTCCGTGAAGTTAGGTTTGCAGTTAGCTTGACTGATACATTAATTAATGAAAATTTCAGTTGCTTTCAGCAAAAGCCCACAATAATCAATCAGGCTGTTAGTTGATCTGGTGGTTTGCTATTTTTGAGACTATTTCCCTGTGTTGCCTATGACTACAGTAATAAAAGGGATTTTATCACTTACTATAGAACAGGTACTTTTGTCTAATACAATTTTGCGCTTCCTTTGGTATTAAGTGCCTTTGGGGTGTGGGTAACATGCACATGAACTTAAACCGAATTAACTAAAGATGAGAAATGTGTTTCAGTTCATTTTTCATTAGAATTTACTCAATTTTCATCCTCTGGACCAAACTTGGATTTGGATGCAACCTGTGGTGAGAACCATATGTTTCTGAACTTGCAGTGTGATTCACAGATAAAAAAGTCTGTCTGACTACATGGGTGCAAATGGACTTCAATCACTGGAGAAGTATGTGTACATTTCAATGATATACACAACTAATGAAAAATATGCACAGATTTTCATGTGAACAACAACAAAGCAAATCTTACAAACTTATATGGTCATGAGTCTTAACAAGCTTTGAGACTGAATTAAAAGAAGTTGAGTGAGTTTGAGTTTTGCTGATTCACACATCCCTAAAATTAACTGATTAATTGACATGCAGTGGAATCTAATGTGGCTGCCTATATCCCTCCTAAACTTGGAGGATTATGAGTATCCAATGAGGGCAGAAGATGGTATTTCTCTTACCCTCCTACACTTAGATGGCCAATTGCAACTGCTTAAGTCTTTTACTCTGGTATGTGAGCAGATGAGGCTGAGGTGCCTCCAGGGTGCTATGTACTATGGCAGAGTGTTACTCCTTCCCTCCTTGCTCCCCTCCCCACCCCAAACCTCCAGCTCTGAGGTCAGTTTTCCAACCTTGGAGCTGTAGCAGGTATATAAAAAAGGTAGACTTGATTGGAGAGGTTGGATCTGGAACTGACCTCTTCCATGACCCTGTAGGCTGGTTGGACTTTGTCTAGTAGCCATAGGATTGCACCCCATACAGTGTACAGGCAGATGATCATTCCAGTCTGTGACTGATAGCTCTAATATAAACCGTGATAATATGTAACGTCTCCCTATTGCACCATTTCTTCCTTCCTTCCTATGCATTTGCAGTATGTATTTGCACAATCAAAACACTTTGTATTGAATTTTCCTCTTTTATTTTGAATATTTATTTACCTGTTAATACTATTCTGCCCTGTTTGATTATGCTTTGTTTTTCATTATTTTACTGTTTTACATTTTGCTTATACCCTATTTTGAGATTGTTTAATAATGAAAAGAATGCAGGAAAATCCAGAAAGAAAGAAAGAAAGAAAGAAAGAAAGAAAGAAAGAAAGAAAGCAAGCAAGCTCACATTGAAGGAGAAATATCCAGAATAAGGGTATAAATTAAAGCCAACAAGCAATCAACATTTGTTTCCAATTACAAGGGAAGAAACTCAGTTATAAATGGTAGGTGTTTTGTTTTGTTTTTAAATTACAGCATTGCTTACTGATTAATCTAGGTGATGATGGCAGGAAGGCAGCAGCAGAAATTCATTCTCTAAGACCTAGTCTAGAGGAATACTGCTCCTTTCCACCATTTGACATTTTCTTTTGTAGCCTGAACAGGTCCTGTTTGGGGATGGGCTTTTGACTTACTTTTCCAATAAAGCTAGCTTTTTCTGTGGGTACTACTGAGCAGCCCATGCCTCTGAATAAATGAAGGGAACATTCTTCTCTGCCTGAGAGATGAGAGTTATCTCTAACTTCAAAACATTCCAGATCAATAGAGCTTTACTGAAACAAAAACTTCATACAGATGTGCATTTAAATACCTAGAAACTTACAGTGGAATCCAATGAAGATTTTCTATTGACATATTGCCTTCATTGGCAGAACTGGGATGGGAATGATTGCCTATTTCCTCTTCCCCTGCAGTTTGTGGTGTGCTCTTAGTATCTGATATGGAGGGTTGCAGGGAGGAAAGTCCCTTCTGAAACTGATTGGGGATGGCTGCAGTGGGGTGCAGGGAAGAAAGTCCTGCAGTCCACAACTCCCAAATAACTGAACAGCTTCTTTCACTGTGTCTTGGTAAGGCTTGTTGGAGAAGTCCCCACTTTGTAGCACAATCTGCGAGCCCTCCTAATCTTGTTCTTCCCAGGGTCATATTGGGATTACACTGATATTTACTCAAGGCTGTAGAGCACTTTCAAGCATGCCTCTGCAGGGTTTACCAGAGACAAAATGTAGGACCAGCAGAAGACATTTTGCTGCTTGAAACAAGGGACAAGATCTCCCATTCCATGTACAAAAGCTGACCCAAGCGGCAGATCAATATTTCAGCACTGTTCATGGGACAGCATGCTTTGCCATACCTTAGAGGGCACAGAGGAGGCTGCCTGGCATACAAATATCTCCTTCAACTTCATGTTGCCACTTACTAGCATCTGCTGCCTGAGGCCACACCCTCACTCTTCCTAAAAGCAGAGTCTGCTCTGTGTCCAACACTGGGAATCCACTGCTTTTTAAACAGCTTCAAAGATATCCGTGTTTTCACAGGTTGCCTACTTTTTCTACTTTAAGTTCTCCCTCTTAGAATATTCCTCCAAAATTTCTGTAGAAGAGCCTTTTCCACAATTCCAAAGTGACCTTCAGCTATCTGAGGTCTTATCTTAGGACGCACACATAAAGTTCCACACAGGGATGTTAGAGAAAAACGTGAGGAGACCTTACCTAGGGTTTGCCCGGCGAGCACTCTCCCATTCTCCCCCAGGACAGCAGCCCGTGCGTGTCTCTCGTTTGAGTACTGTACAAATGCATAGCCCTTGTGAACGGAGCAGCCCACCACCCTGCCGTACTTAGAGAAGATGGTCTCTACGTCTGACTTCTTGACCACTGCTGTGTTGAGGTTCCCAATGAAGACTCTGGAGTTGATGGACTTGGGATCATTCTTGTTTGTGATGTTACTCGTCTGCACTTTCAGTGACATCTTGACACCTGAGTAAGCAAGATAGGGAGGGTCAGGAAGGCACTAATATCCTACAGAATATAGCCTGAAAGGTTCAAGTGGAGGCAACAAGGCCATTTGGGAATAGAACAAAAATAACCCATCAAAGTTCTGCAGAGAACTAAGTGAATTTGGTACTGGTGAAGCAAAGGTGATGTGTAGAGTTCCCTTTGTTCATACAGAAATCACTCCTCAGAGAACTCTGAATTGCAGTTTTGTGACTCTTTATGAAACCTCATTGGGGCTGTACCAAGATGATCAGCTTTGTTTTGTTTTAAGTAAATTCCCAGTGCCTTGATTCTTGAGACATCCATGTTACAGGGCCAGAAAATCGGATGCATATGGCTCATCTTATTTTGGTGTATACAACAGGTGGGGTTTCCTCTTGTATGCAATAGGTGTGGTAGCTTTGGCATACAGAAAGAGTTGTCACCTGCTCAGCCCCTCACCCTCTCAAGCCATCCAAAGCACATCTCAGATGTGCTGTCCAGAGCTCTAAAGAGAGAACATTTCACACCAAGGTACTGTCATCACTGGGAAACTCATTAATTGTCATTAACACATTTGAAGATTAGGGATCTCCACACAGATTTTTAGAGAGACCTCTCTCTTTACAGTCTAGGTGTTTGCATTCACTATGACCACTGCTAACCAAGTTACCCCTCACCCTTTGGATCTGAGATAAGAAAACTTCTGCTAAACCATTTATTGGCAGCAAAGTCAAGGAACAATGGCTGTCCCCACTCCCAGCTTCCCCTCTTCATGCTTGTGAAACCCCCTTCTTGGGTGGCTGCAAAAGAGGAATATCCCAACTGCAGTGGAAGGGATGCTATTCCTCATTTTTCAGATAACCTCTTCTTGCCCTAAGAACTCCAGCTTCTCAACTGAAAGCTACCTTTTCTCTGCCTCTCGGTATATCCCCCACCCCTGCCACTTCTAAGAGGAATCTTTCCTGATTCTCTGGGCCTAGGGCAAAGGCCTCCTTGCTCACTCCCTGCCACCTTTCTTGTATGCTCATGTCCGTACTGACTTGACTCCTTGCCAGGCACTTGCAATCTTTGCTCAAGAAGCATCAAGATTATGCTCTCCAGTAAGCCTCTTCTCCCTGCCACTTTGATTGCACTTAGCTGTAGTGAGGAGCAGGATCGAAGGCTGTTTTGGTATGCAGAACAGTGCTAGCCTTGGAATACCACTGGGCATGTCAGAATCACCTTTTCCACTGCTCTCATGCCTGATGAATTATGCATGCCCCCAGTTCAATCCAAATAGGTTTGTACTCTGCATATGCAATCCAAACAGAGTACAAAGCCAGGCTTTGACGTCTGTTTTCACTCTCACAATGCAGTGTCAATACACCAATGCCAGTGGGCTTGGCTTCCAGCAAAGATCAGGGCTGGCTGCTCATCTTTCCCAGAGATGCCAGCTTTCTAGTTGTCCTGCACAGAATCTTCCTGAGGTCCAGTGAGACTGGCTGGTGCATGCATGAGAATGCGCAGAGGATGCCTGCAAGGGTATTACTATATTGGTAGCCCCACATTAACGTGGCTTCAAAAAAGCTGGTTACAGAAGAAGTGCTATGGAATTAGGCCCCAGTCTTTGCAGATATTTTAATATATTGATATGCTTCCGAGGGAAATGTTACTCTTGATTCAAAACAAGGCTACATTTTATACATGCTTACTAGAGAGTAAGTCACACTGAAGTCAGTGGCACTTACTGCAGCAGGAACTGCACTGAATGAAAGCCTGAACATTAATCATGTCTTTGTGATTATATCACAGCACAGTCCAAATTTAGCATTATGCCAGTGTGTGTGTGTGTGTGTGTAAATCTATACACCTCTAGACATTGTTGGATATCTACTCTCATCAACCCAAGCAAACATAGCCAATTTGCAGGGATAATGGGAACTGTAATTCAAGAACACCCACAGGGCCACAGGTTCTTCTCTGATGCATTATGTATCACCACAAAATACAAAGCCTTAGGCAAATTGAGGCTGCCCCTGCCATTTGTTAGCTGATAATTACTGCAAGTGGTATGCTTATCTTGTGTCCCTCACCCCTCACCCACAGTCTAATTTTGAATTTCCTGGAGCTCAGTATGGAGTGGCTATTCTATTTTTCTCAAAGGGAAAGTACAGTTCATATTCACAGCTAGAGAAAACGGCAGATGATAGACAGCCTGGCAGAATGGAAATGAAGAGGCTGCCTGTGCAGACAGATCAGGACAGGGCTGGATGATACGGTCACAGAAGGGAGTGGGCTCAGTGAATGTGAGTGGTTTCATTTGCTCCTCTCTATGATGGGAATACGGAATTGTTGTGCACTGCTTAAAGAGCCTTGACTATAGGGTTGTATGGAAAGGGAATGAGCAGATATATACTGAGAGTCGAAAAAGCATGGTCAAGGAAGAATGGGGAGCACAGGCACATGGAGCAGTCTATGTCTTGTCATAGCATTTAATCTTGTCTTGACAACCTCAAGGCAATTCTGGACCCTCCAAGGATAGTCACCCAATTTTAAATGTAAGACTCTCAAGTGGTTTAAGAGCCTCCATAGCCCCATAGGGATGAATGGATCTGTCAATTTCCAGTCTCTGTAACTTTCACCAGGTGGAAGAAATGAACAGATGACCAGATTCATTCGCTCAGTTCATTTCTTCCACCTGTTTTTCTGTGCTTATCTGTGCTTTTTAAAAGGTCTGCACGAAAATTCGCATTTTAATGCCTATTTAAATATCTACCATGAACATATTTTCTCCATTACTAAATGTATTTTCTTTCAAAATACGTATTTTGAAAATGCTTTCTCTTAAAATACACATGGTATGGATTGCTATGAGTATGTCTTTTGCGTCAAGCAAAGATTTGCAACATTCAGAGAGGCGTGAAATCTGAAGAAGAAATCACATCTCAGAAGTATGGATCATTTCAGTTCATATTGGAATTCCCAGGCATGAATTTTGAACTTTGCCTCTTGTTCTTGTTGCTTGTTCCTGGTTAGAATCAACTTCTGCCTTTTTGTTTTCTCCTCCCCTTTCCTTCTTTCCCTTTTTCTACTGTGTAGTCTCAGAGGTTCAGTCATTTTGACCTGAAACTTTCCTCACCCTGATGAAAGAAAGCACCAACTCCCACAAAGAGAGAAGTGAACTAACTGTCTGTACATACTTGTTAGTCATGGATGTCCTGTTCTTTTCTACTTTGGTGGATTCTGCATTGATTCCTTTCACGGCAGGCCTACATTGGGTGCCATATTCTAGTTACCGCCTCCATCTGAACTGTGAGTTATCACTGAATTTCAGCATGCTTTCATTTTGTCTTGTCATTCCTATTCTCATGACAAGCTGAAAGAGAACAGCAGAAGGGAGTGAGTTATTTCTCACTCCGGGAGTGCCGGTTTTCATCAGGGTTTGCCTTGATTGATCGCAGAAACCTTCCGGTCACTTGTTAAAAGCACTAGCAAATGTGTTGGTTTCCATTCCACCCCCTTCCCCTATGAATTATTGTTCACCCAACCAAAAACATGAGGCCGCTTCTCTCAGAATAAAGAAGCAATGCTCTCACCCACATAAAGGCCAGTGAAAACTAACATTGCATCATTAGGTAATAGGTTTGACCCAAACAGGGTGAACTTCGTTGCTGGAGGAGAAAGCAATAGGAAGGCTGCAGCCCACAAGGCTGACATTAAGTCAAGATTCAGCTAAAACAATCCAGAGAAAAAACGTACATCCCAGAACAGGTCAGCCTATACCAGTGCTCTGGGCGGGACACCACCACATTTCCTTGGTCCTATGGCTGTGGGCTCCATAACAAACTGCCATGCAGTAGTCATACCACGCAGCTTGAGAGAAACAGGTTTGTGTTTTTGCCACTGAAGACCACAATTCATGGAGCTGGAATGGAGACAAACACATTTAAATTTTGTGGGGTATAGTTTGTGGGAAATAGTTCTAGCTTTGAAAGGGCCATACATGGAAGGAGAAGGATCTCATAAGTGGAAGCTTCTGCAGCCTTTAAAAATGTGAGCTTGGAATGGGGGATCAGGATGGAGGAAACTGGCCAGGGACACCTGGCAGACAATAAAGCAAATCTATGTGGTAAGCACCTTAAGAGCTTTGTACAGAAGTGTTCACAGTCGTCTCCACATGGAGATGGAATGTTTACATCAGGGAAGTGATTCCATCGACCAGGCAGCTATTTTATGAGTCCAATCTAATAAACTAAGATAAAAGCTCCCCCATATAACTTTCAGCTTGCAGCCATGTTTTAGCACATGCATGCTGGTGAAGCACATCTGGAGAATACAGCGTGTGCTTAACATGGCATTGATTTTCCATCCCTCTGTCTCATGACATCTTGTGTCGTTCCACATGCTTCTCACTGACTGATCATACATCTGCTTTGCTCACAAACTGAATCCACAGGCATGGAGCCACAGGTGGCAGCAGTGGCTTTGACAGAACGAACAGAAGCCATTCCATGCAGGAAACAAGCCATACTATATTTGCAAAAATCATACATTTAGAAGGGGACTTTTAACAAATGGATGCAATTCTACATGGTGTGCTGGTCATGGGCTGGAAAGAAATTCAAAAAAGTGCAATCAAAATAACCAATTAACTCCCCTACAAGGAAAATTATTACATTAAGGACTGGGTAGCTTGGGGTCAGGGAGGAGAAGCATGTAAAAATAGTAATGTAGTAATGTACATTACAAGATAGTCATGTAAAAAGAGTTATGCATGGTATGAAGAAAGTGGACAAGAAGAGGCCAAACATGAGGGTTTAGAGGGTTCCATGCCCATTTTATAAAATGGCGCATCATTCATAAGCTCATTTCCAGACATTCTTTTGGCTCTAATAGGGAGCCACACAGCATGATTTAGTGCTTAAACCAATAACAACCACTGGCATCATTTAAATAACAAAATACAATTAGGAGAAGAGACCTACAGCCCATGGAAGTGAAGAAATCAAAACTTTCAAACATTAAAATCCAGGCAAAACAGAAATACCTTTACTCCTTGCCTAGAAACCATCAGCGACAGTTCTTATCTAATATCTTTCATCCTTCCACACCTGATTTGCTTATTCTCATATCAACCAGCTAAACTTTTTCATTGGCTTCTTCCTACAGGACTTGTTGTTTGAACCTTTTAGAGTGATTAATTTCTTTGGCAAAGAATATTGAAAGCATTAAAGGAAGCTAATTCTGTGTGCAAACAGCAAACCTATTTCTCGATATAGTGACTAAGATATTCCAAGATGCCAACCTTTTGCTTACTTTGGCTGCATCAATCATGGGACGAAGTCCAGGAGGTAAAGCAGAAACAGAGTAGGAAGCACCACATTGTTTGCAGCATTGGCTAGGCCAACACTGAAGGCTTTTAAGACTAGAGCCTGCTGACCCCTATCCAGGGGTCATATGCAATATATTAAGGTTCTCTGGTTGGAGCCCTTCTTATGAGGAGACCCTTTCCTCCTGAACTGGGCCTGTCTCCTCTGTGCCATTGCTCCCTGGATCTTGGGGAGAGCGCAAACTTCTCTGAGGCAGACCCCCAGTTCCCAAGCAGCTGGGACCTCAGCAGGATTCTCCATGGACTCAAGTTCTCAGGAGGCACTAGACATCATTCCCCGCCAGGGGCTGCATTGAAACCCTCTTCTTCCTAAGAGGGGGATTCCAGTGGAAGCGTGGTTGCTTTCTCCTTCTCTTGATGCACTCCAGATGAATTGAACTACATAGTCCAACACACTTGGTTGGCACTTGGCTGGAGAAGGCTGTGGCAAGCACCAAGATGGCAGAGTTTGGCTGCTTAGTCATGCCACACACTTAGGCAATGTGGGTGCAAAAAAGAGATATTCATATGTAATAAATTTAAATTTAACTATGAAAGTATTGCAATTTCAGGAGATCAAAGTCATCCAGGAATTATACATCCAGGTATTAGAGCATAGGTTTGAAGTACTGATCCATTAATTATGAGTTCCTTAGCATCACCAGCCTAGATTAGCCTGCCCTATATTTACAGTGTAAAGCTCCAAGTCTCTGGAAGGTGGTTGTGGGTCTCTTGAACAGTAGGTGTCACTATTACATTGGGAACCTGCAGCCTGAAAGAGCCTCAGTGGCTCAGCTGTTTAGAATGCTGATTTATTCTTAATAGCTTATCTGACCCTTGAAATCTCCACAGTTAAGGCGGGGGAAGTAACTAAAGACAGCCACAGCCCTTCCCATCCTTTCCTTTAGTGGCATAGTCATCTGTGCTCTCTTTCATTCATTGCAATGAGCAAGTCTCCAGGTGTGCTGCACAGTAGAAGAATTGCTTCTGCCACTTCTCCTCTTGTGTCAACAGGTGATCCCCAAGGCCGTGTCCAGTATGCGAGGCAAACAGTGGCCGCCATCCATAAGTAGAAGAGTAGTGGAGCCAGGCCTCACAGGAACGTGGCAGTGGCCCTTTCTAATCAGTAGGGACACTGATACCATCTGCCACCTCCTTCAGAATTCCCTGCTTCCTCTCAGCTTAGCTAAAATCCTCACCATAGGTGGGGGAAATTAATTCTACCAGCAATAATATCTTGTTCCCTGTTTTGATATGAAGGATTTTGGGGTGGCTTGGTCTTGAATGGGCAATTCAGATCTATTTGCTTCATGAAAGATATGCTGCTGGTGGAAATGAAAACTTCAAGAGCTGGTGGGTTGATATGGATTTGCCTGGATTTGCAGATCCTGCCTGAAGGCATATCTGTGTGAACTGCCTGTACTTTAGAAATTATGGCTCCATCACTGCATCCTACCAAGAAAGGACAATTGGCTTTAAAACACTGCAGCTTTTCCAATATATCCAATGAGATGAAAAATATGCTTCAAGAATCAGATGGTTTTATTACATCAATCAGATTTTAATCTTCTTCACGTCAGCCCCAATTAGTATGGTGCAGAATATGTTATCAGTGTGCTGCAGACTTTCAAAAATATATGGACTGATACAATGCAGGAGTTCGATTTTATCCAGTGCACTAGCAGCATTTAATCTACACACATTGAGAACTGTCTTGTACTAAACATGCTACCTGAACAAAACCACCCAATCCAGATCATCCCAAACAAGCAATCAGCAGCAGGAAAACCACTATGATTGAAACAGAACTCTTCCACTGCCTATAGACAGCCAGATGTATCTATTTAGATGCTAAAATATAGATTAATCAATTAATTGGTGTAATTAACTGATGAATAGATTGTTGACTAAAAACAGAGCTCTGATTAAGCAGAACCCGCCACCTGGGTTGTCCCACTCCTTCAGCTGGGAGCCACCCAGCTTTGCTATTTACTGTTTCCTGTTCTGTCTCATCTGTTTCAGCACATGGCTGCTGCTGGAGGAATTTAGCAGTCTGCTGCGGGCCAAAACAGATGTTACTTTACATTTCTGTCTAGCAGTCACGTTGTTTTTCCTTTATTTTTACTGTAGAATAAGCACAAGGCCTCTGATCCAGATCGGGACCCAGATATAGAGGGTGAGGGGGATTTTAAGATCTGAGCCTATTCTAGAGTAAAAATGAAAAAAAGAATATAGCTGATAGGCATGGATTTAAAGTAACAGTTGTTGTGACCTTGCTGCTGCAGAATAAAGAAATGACCCACTCACTCATCTTTGGACCTGCTGGAGCAATATGTCACAGTGAAATCTGCTTTAAAGAGCATTCATTTAAAAGCATATGAATGTGGGAAGAGCCATGCTGAATCAGACCAAGGATTCACTCTGGGATTTGCGAGTTGCAAAATTAAGTTATTAAATTAAATGTGAACAGAAAGAATTTATTCATCCTCCCTTGAGAGCAACCACATGAGAAATGGCATTATTGCCATCTTAATACCCCATGTAGCTATTACCCAGCTGGGAACTGATGTTTGTTTAGCCAAGATTCCTGGTGTGAGGTCTGACAGATTGCACAAAGCCAGAAAAAGTGAGGAGAGGGGAAAGGGGAAGGACTATATCAACAGGGGAATAAACTCTGTATAGTATTATTAATTAGGTTTCTAAATTGTTTGCCAAGATCCATTTTCCTGATGAAGGTGCCAGTTCAGGAAAATGGCCAGCAAGGCAAGCAGTGGAGTGCTCCATTACCCTGCAATGCTTTCTAGCTAACCATCCTCTGGTGTTGCTGGAAGGCACAAGGAAAGAGCCTGCCCAGATATGAACAGTGGGGGTGCAATTATAAAGTTTGACAAGATACCATGTGGAGCCAGAAGTGGATAAAGGACTCCCCTATATTGCAGAAGTC